TATACTGATTTTAGTAAAGCATTTGACTCTGTTAACCATTCTCGCCTCGTAAGGATATATTTCAGTTGAAGGTTTAGGCGTCCGCTTGGACCCAAAACTTGACTTTATTGATCATATTTCGTCTATGGTGAATAGAGCCAGGGTGTGGATTTATTAAACGGTGATCGAAGGAATTCAATGACCCCTATGACACTAAATCCTTATATACCTGTTTAGTTCGTCCTATCTTACAAAATGGTGGCTAAGTTGACTATGAAAAACAAAAGGTTTTATGCTCTTTATTCTATTGATATCAGCTTAAGACTGAATTCTGAAGTTAAAAATCTTAATTTAATTGCTATTTGTTTACATGAATTTGGAAACGAGATCTCCAGCTTGGTATATTGATTGTATACATTAATGGAGAGCTCGACTGTCACTTAAGAACCGCCACTTCTTGATTTCAACAATTGTTGGTCTTTATCAGAAACCGCCACTTATTTGTTTCAAGAATTGTTTATGTTAATTGAGATAGAGTCGCTAGCTCCGGAAGTACATTGCTTATGGAAATACTTCCCTCCCCTTAAAAATGGTTGCCTATGCTTGGGCTGGCATTTCAAGATACAACTGGCATTTGAATTTCTGCCGGTTATATTTCTATATGTATGTGTATGTATATATGTTTACTCGCCCATACTGTGGATAATCGACTTGAACCACCCCGACGACATGAGTAACAAAATGTTTATCATATCACAAGAGATAAAAAAATCCAAAGATACAATACATCCAAGATAGCTGGCATCGCAGCTTTGAGCTCGTGCCCAGCTACCGTTCTGATATTACTAGGTATTATGCTGTTTGACCTGTTTATCAAGGACTCGGCGGTGCAGAGTGTGGTGAGCCTCAAGGCTATGAATTACAGGGGCTATCATACCGCATAGGTCATATCAATATTCTGGAAGGAAGGCGACACTGATTACATGATGCCGAAATGAGTTACGAAGTTACACGACATCTTAATTACGGCAGTCACCACTGGTCATAGGTTTGCACACAATGACAATGGCGCTGCCCTACAACACCAGCTGTAGAAGGACGAGCGGAACTTCAGACGACAAAGCATTTGCTCCGTCACCATCCAATATTAAATAAGACAAATATTTGCTAATTCGGTGCCTACCAGTTAGACTCAATGGTAGGTGCAGATTTTGTTGACGAAAGACTGATGAATTCTGACATTTTTTCATCATATATTCATCAACCTTAAACATATAAAATTAAAGAGTGGGAGTCGGTTGTGACACGATTGTCGGATTGTCGGAGCATCGGCGCTGTAAAAGGAGAAGCCTGCACTTTCATAAAACTTTGATGAATTTGACCTTTTGATGATATGTGGTAATTCAGGGTTATTATACATGCTCTTGAACATGTGCTGGTGCTTTAATTTTTTAATACTGCATTTGAATGCTTTAATAAATTTAAAGTTATGAGGCACTGTGTGAACCTGATACTTATTAATACTAAAAGGAATAGAGTCTGGTCTGATGGGGTACCAAGTATACAGTCCTAGCGCAATAATGAAAAGGACTGTAGTGATTTTTCGACTTTGCTTAGTATAGGAATTCCAAGTCATTTACAATAAAATTATAATTCTGCTCAATACAGTTCGATGTGTCAAAAAAAAAAAAAAAAAAATATATATACACTGCGCGTCATCAGATTAGCGCCCCTTGAACATTCTCGGGTAATGTCCAATATTATCCAAACTATCAAGGCTAAAGCCATAAAACTTTTTTGACGATACTTTTAATAATATTCTTCAAAATAAGATAAGGTACATAATGATAAGTATAACAATAATATTTTATTTATTTGAAAAGAAAATGTATACCAAAAATATGAATTTAATTTTGCGTCATCAGATTAGCGCCCCCTGCTTAAATTTAATGAATTTTCACTTAATACTTAACAACTAGTAGTGTTTTATGTTTTATCTTATTATTTACTTCTTTTCTAATCAAATTAATAGTGGGTGGTCCCGCCCCCATTTTCCAGGACCTCACAGATCCTGCTGGGAAGTGACTCGTACAATTTCTCAACGTATTGTAATGATATTGAAGACCAAGCTTCTTTAATCCCGTCGATGAGCTCCAATTTTGTACTATACTGCTTTCCAGACTCGTATACTTTTCTCGAGAGCCATTCCCAAACGTTCCCTATTATATTTAAGTCCGGAGAGTACGGCGGCCACTCCAGGACATCAACGTTTTGGCCCTGTATCCACGATTTTAAAGATCGGGCAGTATGGATTGGAGCGTTATCGTGTTGAAAACGCCATACCATTACAACACCTACTATGTAAACGATCTAAAATATGCTCTTTTTTACGCATGTCATGGAAATAATAATTATAGCCGTCAGGGCCTTCTAAATTAAATATGTTTTCATCGGAAAAGACTACAAAGCGCCACTCCTTCGACCATGTCATATGCGAGCGAGCAAAATTTAGGCGCATTTCCTTTCGTAACTTATTTAGTTGTGTTTTTTTTTTAGTTTTGGACTTCCTAGCTTCCACACAGCTTTTTTCTTTAATTTTGGTAGAAGAGTCGTGTGAATTAGACGCATGTCTAACTATAGACCGAATGTCTGCTTCGGAATCCATATCCTTGTTTATTTTAAAGAAAACTGTCTATAGTTTTTCGATGCCTTCCTATTTTTTCAGCAATTTTATGTAAAGATAAGCCACTTTCACTAAAGGCTTCGATCTTAGATTTTTCTTCTAAAGATAGGACAGTTCCTTTACCCATTTTGATTCTTAGTTTATAAACAATTATTCAATTAATCAGCACAAAAAATTTCACAACTGTACGCCAAAAATTACGCGAAATAACTAAATTTGAATTTACAGGCGCTAATCTGATGACGCAAAATTAAATTCATATTTTTGGTATACATTTTCTTTTCAAATAAATAAAATATTATTGTTATACTTATCATTATGTACCTTATCTTATTTTGAAGAATATTATTAAAAGTATCGTCAAAAAAGTTTTATGGCTTTAGCCTTGATAGTTTGGATAATATTGGACATTACCCGAGAATGTTCAGGGGGCGCTAATCTGATGACGCGCAGTGTATATATATACCATTGCAGATTGCAGTTCGATTATTAATAATTAATAGAAAATAAATTATATATATTTGTGTCAAAAACAAATAAATAATTCCTACTTTCAATAGTTAGCGCAGCTACAGTTCTCTCCTCTGCATTTAACGCTAGTTATAATTTCTTTTATTATTAACTCCAACGCTTTTGTTACTGAATTGATTATCTAGTCTTAAAGGCAGATAGAGAGAAGTTCTCCCAACATATCCCAAACATACTCAGGAACGGCGATGGGCTCGCGAAGAGTAAGCCAGCACCCGCTCACGGAAAAACAGATCTTGTCCTAGAATGGCAGCCGGACACGTCGGCGCTGATACTATACACCGCCGTTTCCATCTATTTATTAAAAATAATGCAATACCGAATCCACGACTCACAAATGTAAGTGGGCTAATACAGTTTCAATTACACACACAGGGAAAAAAATAATAACAATCCCTTCCAATCAATTATTTCTTTTTCCAAATTTTTAATACAAACAATTAAATAAAGTGCGATTGTAAATGTGACTTACAAATAAAGTGAATTAATATCAGTCGTCTCCGAATAAATTTTTTTAGACGTCAAGTACCGAGTTATTAATATAAATAATCTGGAGCCAAATTATTTTCTATCGAATTAAAATATTCGACCCCTCATTACCTGTGTTAAGTGTTAGCCAGTTAGTGACCATATGAATTTCCCGAGAGCATATAGGGAAAATAATAGTGAATTTAAAAGTGACACTGACAAAGAGCTGGTTCAAGAGCTCCATACTTTGCAGCCAACACGGGCACAGGCAGATAAAAACACATACACTATAAACGCGGCTTAAATAGATGCATTAATACATGCCGCATTGGCTAAACAGGAAGTAAAGCTTAGGGCCGTTTCAGGGTAAAATCAATACTGTTTTTCAACAGCTACAAAATGTGCGTATAGAAGCGCCATAGGTAGAATCCTACCAGAGGGTAGCCTCAGTACCAGGGGCAGCGCAGTGCGACATACAAACAATCCCAGGTTTTACTGATATACAGGACGATGCAACCCGCTACTGATGCCCATGCAGATAAAACATCCTTACGCCTATTAGGGCAGAGGCTAGAGTCGGTTGGTCAGGGCGACCTAATCCAAATGTTGTACTATGTTGAGGTCGAGGCCTCCAATGCGGAAGAAACCGAAAATTACGAAAACGCGGCCGAAGCTGCACGTTATGTAATTGAAGACGAGAACGACTTATTCGAATCCAACGACCTTTCCTTTTCAAGGGAAAGGTCCCGATTACCCTCCATTCTGCGAACGCTGACGGGGAAAACTATTAAAATTCTCATAGACTCTGAAGCGACAAAAAATTATGTAAAGTTCCTAAAGGAGCTGATGAACATAACGCTTGTCGACTCCCTATAAATACAACGAATACGATAATGTGAACTTTACTAATATCGATGACTTAATAGTTCCAAATTCAGTAATAGCTGACTTCAAGAAAATGATCCTTAAAGGAAAACAAATGTTTTCGCACTCTAACGAGGAGCTTCCATTAAACACCTCGATTATTGCAACAATTAGTACGGAAACTAAGGAACCCGTATATTCTAAGCTAAATCCTTACCCGATGGGAGCAGCAGATATCGGCCAAATTTTCTTTACTACTCCTATACCTAAAATCCGGCTATGACTTTTGCCGACATTTTGGACTACAAAATGTGGGAAGGATCTTTCAAAGGGCGATTGACGAAGTGTTACGCGAACAAATCGGAAAAATTTGTTACAAAGCAAAGCTTCTTCGTTTTCTAAGGATTTTATATGACCGTCATACCAATTTGTACTAAAAAAAACTCAAAGAACTAGTTTTTAAAGGTAGAGGATCGTATTGATTTTGTTCTTGGAGTTTGAATATTATATTTTAATAGACAAAATAGACTAATAGATAAGCTACTTATATTTAATTTGCAGTTTCGCAGGCATCAACCCAATCGTTGTAAACATCAATTGGTTCTGAAAGGAAGTTTATTCCTGTTTGGTAGTCTTCCAAACACACTCGGCATGTTATTTTTGCGGTGTTCCTGCCCTTATCCCTGAAATAATCCATAAAAAATAAATAAGTTGAAAAATATTCAATATGATACCATCAGTTAAATTTATGGAATTTTGTATAAATTATAAAAATCATAAATTTCTTGGGCAGTTTTTATAACCTTTCAGTGTATTATAATATTAGTCAGAAGTTTGTAACGCAGTAAAAGAGTCATTTCCAAACATAAAAAGTATATATATTGGTCAGCATCTGTCCATCCGTCTGTCCGTTTTTACGCAAACTGGTCTTCAACTTTTAAAGGTATCTAAATGAAACTTAGTAACTAGTTGTACATGTATATATTTTCTCACTAGTATATTAGCTGGACCGGGCCGGATCGGACGACTGCCATAGAAACAATCAAAAATTTTTGGAACAAAAATTATAACTTCTTCATTTTTTAACATATTTTCATAGTTTCAGTTTTCTTTTATTAAAACCAGAGGACTATATTATATAGAAACTTTTGTTAAATGTATAGAAAAATACAAAAATGTGAACTTGAACTTCGAGGGTGTTGCAAATGGCCTTTGGTTCTTCTTTTATGTCACAGAAAAATGTTTATAAGTGATACTTCAAAGAAGGCCAAAAATCATTAATTCATTGATAGAGACCTTACTGAAACAAATCAAAAGAACCTGTGAAAACCATGTCGGCCTACGAAAAGTCAAATCTCGTTTGGTTCCAAAAAGGCTCAATTTCTTGAAAAATGTCGTCGGGTTATGTGTATGAAACAATACTTTTTTTACTATTAGGATTAGGTCAAATGTATGATTACAGAAGAATTGACTTGGATTTATGCCTAGGACCCTAAAACAAAAGACCATACCGGAAAGAGCACGACAAAAAAATCTGGGTTATGATGACAGTTTTTTTTTCGATTTCGTTCGTTTTGAAACCACCGTATTCTCGTTTCGGCTCCATGTGACTTATGCCTAATTCCTAAACTCCAGAAACAACTCTGGGAAAAGCGTTACGATTCAATTGAAGATATAGATAGCCGAATCGGGGCGCTGAGGACTATACTGGAACGGAGGGACTATTTAGCAAATTCAAAGATTTGAAAAAGAAAAAAACGTTGACATAAGTTTGTTTTATGAGGAGGAGATTACTTTGTAGAGGATAAAATTATTTTGAGAATAAAAAAAGCTTTTTTATTTTACAAACAAATTCAACTTACGTTTTTCACATAAGTAAACGTAGATTGATTCTAAAAGGCGAAAAAGAAGAGACCCCTCCATTATTACTTCTCTCGAGGAATGCAATGTTGTCAAATTCCTTTATGATTGTAGCACTTGTCCTACACAAAAAACGATTTTTTTTGCTGTCTTGTTCAACATTTCGCTGTATCACGTCAAACAGTTACGAATTCCACAGCGCGTTTTCTTGATCCATACTCTGTTTCCCATCCGCTGAAGAACCCCGGAGATACTAAAATCTATGTGACTATAGATTTTGGAAACAAAGTGGGCTTTAAACGGCAGAATAATATTACACCTTCATTTAGTTGATCCGATATATACTGACAAAACTGATGCAGAGAATTGTAACAATGTCATACATTAATTTTTTTTCAGAATTCGCTCCGTTATACCAAAGACAATAAATTTATCAAGATGACTAACGCCATACAATTGTTTTCAACACGATTTTTTCGTGCTGGCTTTTGAACTGGCTTTAGGCTCTCTTACATTTCGTTAAAAAGCCAGTGAGAGAGCGCTCTAGAGGCTGCCGCTCTCGTGTAGGTATGCGGCAACAGCCGCCGATTGTTTGTGTGTACACTTCACTTTATAAGTTCTAAGTTCATTTTGGAGGAAAAAAATTAATATTTTAAATGATAATTATTCGAATATAGTACCTTTAATAGTAGTGGCCTAAAATTGATACACAATATGTTTTATACATGACATCATCTAAGTAATTCTATTGTCTTTCTTTTTACCATCCGTCGATCTCAAATAAGCCACCCCATAATTAAAAATTAATAAAGGGTTAAGTCCCCTGAAATACATAGTCTAGACCATCTGCTTTTTTCGGCTAAAAAATGTTGCGTGCTGAACGCAGTTGTTCACAAAATATTATTTGACTTGCTTCATTTTTCGCAGGACCTAAAACAGTTTTAAAATGTCAATACTAATCGTAATTCTACACATTTTTCCATTCTGGTATATGAAAATAGTATCGTAACTAATGATAAGCTAATTGCCTATTTTTTCATTTCCTTTTAACTACTGTTTTTACGTCATGCACTAATGGAGCCTAATTTTTAGATCTATTTTTCCTGTCAGTGTACGGAGGTACACTTGGTTCGGTATTTGGCCAATGTCATGTGCAATCTCTTTCAGAAATTAATTATCTTGTCCTTAGAAACCTACTCTGTTTCCCTTACTTAGAAGAAATAATTTCTTTTATCTGTTCCCAAATGGAATGCTAACAACTATAGAGGATTATTGAAGTTATATAAGGTTTAAGAACATTTACATTGACCATTCAGTTCAGTTCTTATTGTTAACATTAAATCAACAAAACTTTCTTAGCTTTCGATCTACAAAGCTTAAAATGGGATTTAAACCAATAATAACCGTCCTATTCTAGTAGACTTCTTATTAATTTACCTTTTGTCGTAAATTTATCATAAGTATTAGATGCTATTTACCTTTACTCAGTCTAATGTTAATGATGACTCAATTATTAGAAAGTTTAGAGACGTTGGGACTGTAAGCTGTCAAGAAATCAACGCCCACGCATTTTAGCAACTGCAGTGATACTGACCATTTTTTATTAACAACCGTAGGAACATTTTACTATATAATCAGGTCTCCGTAAAGGATTTTTTTAAACTACCTAATTTTTTTTACGATACTTAAGAGTTTTTTAACTATAGGGATTTAAAGAATTTTAATTATACAGCAAAATACTCTGTATAAGATACATCAACATTATTGGTTTGACAAAATTAATTCAAGGGCTGTTGATATTTTTATCACGTATAAAACTGTAAGGGATTATCTATGATGATCTCAAGAATCTCTTGATTGCAGTGAAATCAACTAACCAGTGATGGCACAGTTAGTAGAGCAACCAAAGCAAGCCCTTTAGAGATGCTAATCGGTAAAGAGACTCGAGACAGTGATACAAAGAAAATTTAAGAGGCATGGCATAGAACGTAATATACAGTGTAGTTATGATAAATGTAGATTTGACAAAATTAAGGCAACTGTTTTGTTTGTATACCCTTGCACATTGCAATTAGATCATTTTTAATATAGTATCAATTTAAATTAATAACAAGAAAGGAAGCTAACATGCAGATAGAACTTCTATGACTAGGAATCCATATAATATAAATTATAATAATAATATAATATATTAAAAAGTTAAAAAACAATAAACTAATACCTGATTTAATTTCATTCACCTATACATATATAATATATATAATTTACAGTTTTACATTCATAGATTTGCATTTTTCCTCTACATCTAACGGCCGTTTCTATGGCACCTAAATGATATAGTCGTCCGATTTCCAAGAAATTTAACACAAAATTTAAAACTAATATAAAATGGATATACCTCAAATTTTATGAAAATCTGTTGAAAACTGAAAGTTATAATTTTTAATTGTATTAATTTCTCGGTCGTTCCTATGGGAGCTATATGATATAGTAGTCCGATTTTCATAAAATTGTACACAAAATTGTAGAGTATAAGTCAAAATGTCTATATACATATACATATGTATATATATGTATGATATAGTAGTCAGATATTAATAAATTAAATCCAGAATTCTGAATACATCTATGAGATAAAAATATTTTGAAAAAAATCGAAGCTATAATTTTATTTACTTCTCGATAGTTTCTATAACAGCTAAATGATATAGTAGTCCGATTTTTATACATTTAAATATCATAAATAAAAAAAAACAAGAAAGAAAGCTAACTTCGGCACGCCGAAGTTTATATACCCTTGCAGATAGAACTTCTGTGAATAGGAATTCATACATTAATTATATATATTTGTGTTAAAAAACAATGAAGTAATACCTGCTTTCATTTCATTCACCTATACATATTATATTTGCAATTTTACAGTCACAGATTTGCATTTTTCCTCTACATCAAACGATCGTTTGTATGGAACCTATATGATATAGTCGTCCGATTTTCATGAAATTTGCCACAAAATTTAAGACTTATATAAAATGGCTATACCTCAAATTTGATGAAAATCAGTTTTCAGCTGTATAAATTTAATTGTATTAATTTCTCGATCGTTCCTATGGGAGCTATATGATATAGTAGTCCGATTTTCATAAAATTTTATACAAAATTGTAGAGTATAGTAAAATCGCTATATCTCAAATTTGAGCCAATTCTATTGAAAACTGAAAAAGTTAAACTTTTTTTTGTACAAATTTTCCGATCATTCCTATGGAAGCTATAGGATATAGTCGTCCGATCCGGCCCGTTCCGACATATATACGAGTGAGAGTATATAGAAGGCTAACTACAAAGTTTCATTCAGATAGCTTCAAAACTGAGAGACTAGTTTGCGTAGAAACGGACAGACGGACATGGCTAGATCGACTCGGCTGTTGATCCTGATCAAGAATATATATACTTTATATAGTCGGAGGTGCCTCCTTCACTGCGTTGCAAACTTCTGACTGAAATTATAATACCCTGCAAGGGTAGAAAAATATGTTGAAAACGACAATGCCATTTTATATATATTTAATACATTATACAGCAATTATATGTATATATATTTTTTTCGAAAAATTTACCGTTTGTTCCTATGACAGCTAAATGATTACTCCTATTTTCAAATAAGATAAAAATATGTTGAAAACCGGAAAAGTATTATTATTTCTAAAATTTTACGATCATTCATATGGCAGCTTTATGATATAGTCGTTCGACCCGGTTTATAAACTAGTGAGGGTAATTAAGAGACTATGGGAAAAAATTCATTCAGATAGCTTTACAAGTGAGGAACTAGTTTTTTTCAGACACGGACAAGGCTAGGTAGGCTTCTCTCTGCATCCCAAACTTTTGTAATAAAATGATCATGTATTTCAAAAAACATAAACTTTTAACACAATAGAAGCAAGCCCATTTTAAAGTAGTACAACAAATGCACAGAACAATTTTATTTTACATTTTTACTTCACACGATTTTTCATGGTTGCAAAACGGGCAGTTAAATTGCTGATCAAGTGGTTCAATGTTCTTCCTTTTTGGCGGTGGCTTCCGCTTCGATTTCCTCCTACCCATACTTTGACCTATAAGTCGCACTACTTCACCGGTATATAAAATATGTTAGGTTCTTGACGTTAGTCAAGATAACTTCAAATGAACACAAATATAAAAAACTGGGAAATCCAATCTAATGCCACGTTCACATTAGAATTACTTTTTGTATAATTAAAATATATGTACTACATGTATGTACATATGTACTAAACATCCAATAAACAATAGTACACAACGCATTGTATTTGAAACTTAATGAGTGTCTAAAGAACTGCGCAGTGAGGGCAAAACGCCGTTTTAATGGCCTGATCATGATACAAATATAAAAGGTAGTTCCGTCGAAAAAATCTGGTACCTCTTCAATCATAGCAATGAGTGCGAGAGAGAGGGGCTCAACCTAGTAAGTGCGAGCGGGATAACAATAGAATGTGTTGATTAGCCCTTAAATGATGTATGGGGCTTTAAGTTTCCTTTTGTAATAAAACGAGTAGAACATTTTTTTATAATTTAATTTTGAGCTGGAAATGAGTCGTTGTTTTTCTTTTTGCGTGGCGAATATTATTGTCTTAAAATTGAATATTTTAATAGTTAAGCAAAATGTCATGTTGCGTAAGGGTTAATGTTAGAACAAAGTTAGAACAAAGTTTGTCCGCACACAATTTTTCACTACGAAATACGAATACGACTGCTTTAACTGCCGAAGTGGCTACCTTCGTAATTGTATTTTGGGCCTGTTGACGTTAGGGGAATTAAAATAGATAGAAAAAAATAAACTGAATAGTCTGTTCTCGTTATATTATTTTTAATTTTATGAAAGAGGGCCACCCTGAAATTTAATGTTTCGCACTGGAAAAGAGCTTTTTTTGGAAGTGTGACTACTATCTTCACTAGTTTTTCGGAATTTTTGGGGTGCAATATAAAATATTATCATAAATTGTTGACCCGACTCTTTCGAAACGTAAGACACGTTTAACATTTATTTATTTATTTATTTATTATTAAAGATGGAGAAGTTTGCAAAACTAGACTAACTTAGTTGGTAAAGCGCTGACAGCAAGGCCTTCGGCTTTTAAAGTTAATGATATTTAAGTCTATTAGTTAATTACATATTGTTCGTTGTATTTAGGCTACTTAGTTGGTAGATTTTATTTATGTACATTTTGGGTATTATTAAGTTTTGTGATATAGGTTTGAAGTTTTTAAGAAAATTAAGAATTTTTCTAAATTATCGGGGTTGAGTTCGTTAAGGAGATTTAATGGGTTTGTATTCCTGAAGATCGACAGTTTAGTAGAAAGAGTTGATGGGCATGAATTTAATAGGTGGGGTAAGGTATTGTCGCCGTGGCAGAAGGGGCAGGGTGGGGTTTGGTTTTGATTAAAGTAGTGCTCGTGTGTAAGTTTTGTGTGGCCTAGAGTCTAAGGAGTATTATTTTAATTTGATCGAGTCTGCTCGATTTGGGATGGAAGGATCTGCAATAATTGTCGATGTTTGAATTGTCTTTGTTAATGTTTTTATACCATTGATTCCAGTGTTCTATGCTCAGTTTATTTCTTGTTAGGAATTCTAGTTTTAAGTGTCTGTTTATGTCTGTTAAATTAATGTTTGGGGTGTAAATAAGGGGCATACTGCATTTCGATTTGGTTGTTTGGTCGGCTAGCTCGTTGCCTGCTATGCCTACATAATCAGGGATCCACAATATTTTAATTTTTGGGGCTAGTTTTGTAAGAAGTGATCTAATTTTGTTGGGGTAAAAATTGTTGTTGTTTGTGTTTCTTATGGCGTCAATTGCTGAGAGAGAGTCAGAGCATATCATGGACTTTTCCCTTGTGCTTTTGACTTGGTCGATCGCTACTAATATAGCTATTATTTTAGCGGAGAGTACTGATGAGTGCGGGGGTAGGATACCATATTAAATAATATAAGTATCTGTTGTGATTGCATATGATACAGTGAAGTTCATTTTTGATCCATCTGTAAATATGAATTTGTGTGTTTTTTGGCTGTCTTTGGTATGTTCGTATAATTTCATGTATGTATCTGGTGGTGTGGTTTGTTTCTTGTGCGCTCTAAATGTTGGGTCTATGAGGTTTGGGAGATCCCAAGGTGGCTCGTATTTGTGTAGGTTAACTGGTTCGTAGGGTAGGTTTAGTGCTTGACAAAGGTTTATTGTGCGGTCTATGGTTGATGGGTTCATTTTTGATTTTCTTTGTTTGACAAGTTTGTGTATTGGTGTAACTTTGGAAAATATAAGGTTTTTTGTGAGTTTGGCTGTTTGAATGTCTCGTTTTTGCTCTAATGGGAGGATGTTGGCTTCGTATAGCAAGTTATTTATAGGTGTGGTTCGGTAGGCGCCAAGGGCTAGACGGATTGCAGTGTTAAAGGGGGTTTTTAATTAGTTTAGCACGCTTTTCGCTATTCGATTTTTGCTATGACTGTTGCTTTCGCGACGTGGAGTAGTGTTTGTGTGTTACAATTGAATTTGAGGTTGGAGAGGCATTTTATGATATTCAATTTTTGGTGTAGTGATGGAAGAAGTGATTTTATGTGTGTGTCCCTTTTGTATTTACTGTTTATGGTTATCCCTAAGATTTTGAGTTCTGTTACTTGTTTTATTGGTGTATTGCTACAGCTTATGGTTCTAGTGCAATTGTGTTTTTGGCATATATGGATGTGTTCGCATTTAACTAAAGATAGAGATGCCCCTGAGCACCAGTTGCTTATGTCATGTCATAGGTTGTCTATGTTAAAATTAAGGTTTTTGTTGTTTCTGAAGTTTATTATTAGGAAAAAATCGTCCGCGTAAGCGTAAAATTTAGCTTCTCTGTGTATAGATATTGCGTTTGAGAGTTTGTTGTATGCGATGAGAAATAGGATTACCGATATACATATGTATGTAGGTGATCCTTGTGGGATACCGTTGGATAATGGGAGTGAATTTGATTTGTGCGGACCGACTCTGATAATTATTTTACGCGTGAGCATGAAATTTTTAACATAATTGATTATTTTAAGCGATTGGCATTTATTCTAGCCGTTGGCAACTCCGAGACGTTTTAAAATGACAGCACTCTGTAAATCCTGTACAAGGAACTCGGATGATTCGATGCGGGTCGATCGGTGTCCGTTTCATGAAAGAACATCTTGGCACTAGTGGCTATATCTATGTACTACCCATCGGGTCATTCTCGGATCAAGCCTGCAATAAGATCCAACATGGTACGATATCTACCTGGCAAATGTCTGGCGTTTAATATTCTCTTCCACGAGCATCGAGATCTCTCACATCCAAGGTTGCCAAAAATCCAAACCAAAAAACCCTTTAGTAATTTAATTATACTAACTTCTGAACTTCTGAATGCAATTTTTTCGTAGAATTTCTTTTCATGGCGGGATCTATATTTTGAAATACGTGTAGGAGCTGTAAGTGAGAGCGAGAGGCAAAGGGTCGCGAACAATTGCGGCAAAACCGACTATTCCGTTCTCTCATTTTCTTTAAGGGGGGAAAGGTCAAATAATAAGAAAAATGCCATGTTTTTGTGTTTTTTTTTTTTTTTCTCACGACACAGTTAAAATGTATTTATTCAACGAATGGAACATTAAAGTAAGACATTCGAAGAATGTCTTTTAAAATTATTACAAAGACATAAATTCAAATACATGGCAATGGTAGCAATTGTCCGGACGTATCTCAAAGAAAAGTTTAATTGCGGTGCTAGATCATCGGAAATCAAAAAATCGAATTCCTTCCTTACATTATAGAATACCCCAGGTAACGCTGTCGATTTTTTAAATTTAATTTTTGATTTTTTTCGACTGAAGTGATAAACAAACTTTTTTGAAAAAAAAAATTGGCTAATTTTTCATTGTCAAATCAAAATTATGAATAAAATAAATAAATGTGTACAGAAATTGTATTTAAAATTTCATAATGGTCCAGGAGTTTTGAAGTTATGAAGTGCACCGACTTTGAAAATGTGAGTTGTGGGAAAAACGCTTCAAGGTTTTAAACTCAGTAAAAAGTGTAAAACGAAAATCCGGCAGGTATAAAACCACTCGTAATTCGTACATTTTGCTTTAATTTACTTGAAATTTTGACACAATATTCTTAATATATTATGCATTCAATTTTAAAAATAAAAAAAAGTTAAAAAAAAACATTAAGTACCTTCCTGGTTCAGTAAAATGTTTGAAATTTCAGGTTTATGTTGGATAAGAAATTTTAACATTTTTGAATTGAATACTGTTTGATTTAGATTGATATGAACATGAGGCAATCCTGTTGAAATATTTTCCTCGAGCGACGGCATACAATTATCTACAACAATTTAATTGGCACCAAATGAAGTCATTTAAAATGCCAAATATGATTTAAAAAGTGCTTCGATGTTAAGGATTAATAATTACAATGGTTCGAGTGGACTTTCTAATGCAGGCATTCTTACTTTGCCATTTCCACTACATATTCGCATTCTTTCATCATTCTAATGGGTCCATCCGTCATTCCAATGTTTCCGTACAAACTGAAATCAATCTTACTGTTGTAATTAAAAGTAGCACCAATGAAATTACAGTGGTGTAGATCAGTGACGTCATACACATTGAATGAATTTGTTGATGAATTGTTGATGAATCATCGATTAATTATTGATGAATTTTTATTGATGACAGCCTAGAAAATGCCCATGTTAAATTCATCAACAGTTTGTATGGCCTGTCATCGATGAATCATAAACAGCACACCCTTGACTGTTGAAAAAAAAACGTTGATGAATTACTGATGACAGGGTAGAGCCACCTATACAAACTGTTGATGAATTTAACATGGGCATGTCCTAGGCAGTCATCAATAAAAATTCATCAACAATTAATCGATGATTTATCAACAAATTCATAATAAATTTTGAAACAATTCATCGATGTTTCATCAACAAATTTCTCAACGGCCGGGCCATGGTACTACCGATGACTGCCGTCTGGACTACCGCCGTTCCAGTATCGTGGGCAGAGCGTCGTAGTAGAAGTCGGAGTCGGCAGAGCGTCGACTCGGTAGAAGTCGCAGTCAGCAGAGCGTCGCCTT